TCGGCTGTCGACTTCACGGTGTGGATGAGGGATGTTGTCAGTCCAAACTTCCTCTTTATGGTTGAAATTGTTTTTACATATCTTTTTGTCTGTTTATGTTTTCCGTGCTGGGAATCGACGCAACAACAGCAGTGTCATCATGAGCAGTCGCGTTTCAACATGACCCATTACCAAGAGCTGGAGTTGACGGACTTAATGGTTCGCACTCAGGCACCCCCACATGTTAAACAGTTCCTTTTTCAGTTTCCGGTAATGAGAGCAAAGGTGAAGCTGGTGACTTCATCCAGAAAGCCAAGAACGGAAGATGTGTTACTATCCTTTACTTCGTTACTTTATCAGTCTTTTCTTCCTCTTTATTTTCTATTTCCATACAAAAACATAATTTATATATATTGCGTAAATTACCTTTTCAAGTTATTGTTTATATTCATGTATTTGAAGAAAAGGACTGTGATAAGTTGTGAAAACTTGTGTCCAATTGTTTTTCAAATATTTATTTGCAATAAAATATGTTTAAATCAAAACCAGAATTATATGTCAGTGTGACATTAAAACCGCTCACCACTTTCAATTTAATTGCTTCAGTAACACGTTGAGCATCAATTTCTACTATAATACCTCAGATAAGTGTTCTGTATTCTGCTAATTGAAAATCAGGTCATGTGATGATGTTGCCTTTGGAGTTTCCAAAATCAATCGCCTCTTAAATGATGCCTTAAAAACATTTCTCCCTCTCCTATTTTTTCACCCTCTTTTGTGACGCATTGTTGTAATTTTCATTAATTAGCATCCTCCAATGATGTGGCATGAGCATTTACGTGCAGAATGGCAATCGGTGAATGGGTAATAAAGAACAGGTGCCTTTTGTGCTTGTGAAATGAAGGATAATAACAGTAGTGGGAAAATATGCATGGAGAAAAGAGACAGTGTACTCCTTTTTTTCTTATTTATTTTTTATTCATATTAATATTATTAATTATATATATATATAATATAATTATTAATATATATCGTGACTTTAAATATACAATTCATCACAAAATCTCACAAATGTTCTTGGAATATATTTTAATTATATTTCTCAATGCGACTTTTGCCAACGTAAGAGTTATTTCCCTTACACCAGATTGGATAATATTTTGACACGGCGCGAATTCTTGTCAAACAGCAGCGGCGGTAGTGTCATGTTCTTAAATTGTTACATGTTCATAAATAAATATACATCAGAACATTGCATGCTGTGCTACAGAAATGTTTGATAAGCATACACAGTTCACATATTGTCTCGTTTCAGAGCGACGTCCGTGGTAGCAACGATGGTTTAGTTTATTACCGTTATCAACCTATGTACGATGTCATATTACGTTCCCGTTTGAAATGTTGAAATAGAGGTTATACTTCACACTCATACGGTTTATAAGTATATATATTTACTTCTTCCTTGAACTTACATAATATAAAAAGCTAAACCGTACAGACAGTCTCGAATCAGAGTCACGAAAACAAACACTCCACGCTCAAACCCAGTACACGAATTTCACCACCACAACAACACTCGTAGAATGCACCGGAGATAGACATTTTGTTTTCAGCAATTATTTAAAATGTGGATTATTATTTGGAGAAAAGGCTTTATGTAACCCACAGGTGAGTATCAGATATTCTACTTTCTATTTACGATAACGAAACCATATAGCGGAAGCATGCAAGACTGAATTATGCGCACGCACCCCGAACGGAAGTGGGTCCGTCATTTCGTTTTCTGGACAGAATCAATAAGCCGTTCGGCTCTTCCCAAGAGCGGCTTAAACATAGATATGCAATGTGTACACTACCACTATGTTGCTCACTATCTGATGAAAACGAGGATTTCTTTTCTGAAAATTCCTGAACCGGAAGTTAAACGGATATAGCGCGTACCGGGCGAATGTCGCGTGTGCTATGATTAGTTGGTAATGTCACACGTGCAAAACAACCCATATAACAAGTATAAGATAAATAAGGAAAAACATAAGCAGTTGTGTTGAATTTCAGTTAAGAGGACACACACCAGCATATCCGGGGAAGCGCTAGACGAAGAATTGATCAACTGTAAGTGCAACTGCAAAGATAACCGGAAGGTTTACAACCAAAAGTTCTGTGAGGGAACCAAGGCTAAATTGACGCCAATTTTTGTGCTACCTACCGACCGCACACAATTTCATCATATATCGAGGTGTGTATTGAGCATACGTTGCCATTTAAATAATGTAGTATTGATCATTTTCCATTTATTAGAAGTTCATCAAGTTAAAGTAAACAGTTACAAAAACCTTCTTCAAACAGGAAAACCAAAGCGGAGCTGGAAGAAATGATATTGAGCGCAATTGAGTCAATTGGGGAGGTCCTTGGATGACAGGAAGAAAGCAGAATGAGAGCTAGGTGGGCTGCTACGAAATCACTAACAGCAGCATACATCCTAAATGGTAAATAGTTGCACTACATTTCCCCTTGTTCGTACCTTTGAAAACAAAGTGTCCCGTCTTCTACAGTACGATTTGGATCTTGCCTTTGGGTCTTGAATAGATTTAAACCTTTTGCCCGTACGGAAGGTTTTGCATGTTGCTGGTTGACCCGCTACATTTCCTCCGGGATTACTGTTTTTCCTAACGCGCCTCCTAAATTCCGAAGATGTGTTCTGTTTGAAGATATTGTATCGCCTTATATTAACCATGCTCCCTGAATAGTCGCTAAATCAATGTAAATATGGTCAACGCAAACTATTTAAATTTGCAATAATTTGTAGAGAACATATGCACACCCGATTAATATGAAGACGATGATGAAGTTTAATGCTGTTGATTAATATGAAGAAGGAGCGGAGTACGAATAATGAAATAGGTACTATGCACTTTGTTATGTGTTTGTGTTTATTTTCCCCTAAATATAATAAATACCAAATGCATAATTTCCATATTATGTGATGCCACCAACGCTACTTTCTGTGTTCAGGAGATCCCTCGAGTATCGGATACACTGATGCTGAACGTCAATTAAATACAACACTGGACTTGATAAGTAGAATGTTTTTACGCTAAATCATAAAATGTGAATGTAACGTGCTGAAACTGTACTGAATTGTACATAAAAAATACGATATGGGTTGCGATTCATTAAAAGCGTTGCATGGCGTGTAAAGACCTCCATAAACAGTTGTACAAGTTACGTTTCCGAACTTATTAACCCGCCTTTTTTCACACTTATTTGATACAAATTGTCTTCCGGTGTATTGCCGCCGTTGGTGGAGTGTATGGTGTTGGCTCACGAAGTTCCGAGACAAACAATTTAAGCTAAGTGGAGTTTACAGGGCTTGTATTGACATGTACAGGTGAAGAGACAGGTAAATAGCTTGGTCATTCATGCAAAACAGGTGTCGTTTCTGGATTATGCTACCGGAAATGATCAAGGGGGCTTCTGGGATACAGCACTTTGGTTCCCGACTTCAGCCAGGTAAGCAGCACTTTTTCAGCTGTTTAAATCCAATGATTTAATTACTCTCTGTCGCTCATCCTTCCAGAATTCGGGGTTGTAAACGTTTAGGTTTTTGGTAGTATTTTTGTACTATGGCGTTAATTTAATAGGTTAATTGAGAGGTGAACTTAGATGTATTTTTCGGGAGACATGCCGGTTGTCATACCGTTTGAAGGAGATATGTTATGGATAGCACTAAGGTAGTGACTGAAAATTCTCTGCCCTATATGTTCTGAGCATTCCGTGGTTGTTTCTATGAGAGGTAGGCCCCTCTAGTCCACATGAAGGAGTGTGGCGGAACATAGAAGGGTTAACGGAAAAGCTATTGAGCGGAGGTGATAACCGTATGTTCTCGAGCACGTGTTTGAGTTATCTCGTGGAGGGCTTTAGGATTAGTGATAAGGTAGTTTGCTCAAATATAGAGCGAGTACGAGTTATAGACAGGGTCATGTTGTACTGAATATTTCACTAAATTGTAGTTTAACTTGGAAACACACCTGCCGCCACGTGTCTTGTTAAGTTTAATGTACAATAAACGTGCGAAATATATATCTGCTTAAGTTGTCAGTGCGGGTTGGCAGTGACCCCCAAATACTGATGTGAGGACTTTAATACCTTACCGCGAACCAACCTCTATGGGATTCCTCAGGACGTGGTGGACATAAAGTTACCATAAATCCTATGTGTGAGCCGGGCAGGTGACCTTGACCTTGGGGCCTGAAGAACCATCCCCCTCCTCCGAATATCAGTGCCAGTGACAAGGGAGAGATTCCACAGTAACCTTGGGCTGGAGGGGGAAACCGTGAAAATGTATGGGAAGTCGGGAGGGAAAATCTGGGATATGTTTGATTTGGAAGCAAAAGTGTCATATATTTCTTCTTTAATATTAAACTACCAAAAGATAAACAGATATTATTTTAACTTCAGATCATCGATGCCGATTCACTCCAGGACATTTATGCCTAACTCGATAAGACGCAAAATCCAATAACGGTTGCTTGCCGCATTTGACCTGTGTTCAATGCAAATGACAAAGACGAGACAAGAGTCCGTACCTGCACCGATCACTATGTAATTTATTTAGAAGTATACATGTGTGTTTAAGAGGAGAATTCATGGCGGTGGATGTTTTAAGAGGTTACTTCAAAGTGCAATTAGGTAATTTTAATTTCATGATTTCTTTTATAATATATATTTTTTATTTATACTTCCTTTATATATGTTATTTATTTGTAATCTTCTCGGTGAATAATGAGACATTAAATGTCCTCACCATTGAAATTCTACAAATTCCGTCTGTTGCCTTTACCTGTACCCACTTAATTATTATGTTTTGTAGGGGGAAAAAAAGCAAAGATATAGAGACATACCAGGGAAGGTGTCGATACTGGGACAGAGTTTCATTAGTAGGTTGGGGGGCTTATCGCAACAGACCGGGGGGTGGGGGAGATTGCAAAGTAATTTTGGGTTGGATGGGGTTATCGTTAGGGGTGTAACGATATACCGGTATACCGGTATATTGTGATACAGCTGAGAAACGATATGTATTGCAATACGATTTTCCATATACCGGTATTTTCGATATTTATTCTCCATGAATTATTTTGAAATTTTTCATTCACATTACGATCAAATTACAATAAAACCAGCTAAGTAGTCGTAGGCGCTTTCTCGACGTTTTTGTTTTTTGTCCCGGAAGCGGTAGTGTGTTTACAGTAAACACGCATGTGCGAGCGAAAACGAAAGTAGTCGCGGGAAAGATGGCGGAGGAAAAGGACGAAAGCTTCAGCATCATTCCTAATAAGAAGGCTAAGTCCGATATATGGCAACACTTTGGCTTGAAGCAATACAAGGAAAAAACAAGCGTTGAACCGGGCGTCGCCGTGTGTAAAAAATGTAGAACAGAGGTGAAGTACAGTGGCGGAACAACCAATCTGGGCGTGCATTTGGACCGCCATCACAAAATGACAGTCATTGGAAAAAGTGCAAAAAAATCATTCGAGTCGTCGATTGGTACTGCTTGTACTAGTGGTGGTAAGCAGAAAACTTTATTTGAACTCTCGCAATCTAAGTATAGTAGAACGTCTGAGAAGTACAAGCAAATTACTGCTGCCATTGGAAAGTTCATTGTTAAAGACTTGCGTCCCTTTTCCATCGTATCTAACGAAGGATTTTTGGAATTGATGAAAGTGCTTGATCCTCGTTATGATGTACCCTCGCGTATTCATTTCTCAACAGTTATTATTCCTGACTTTTATGAAGAAGTAAGGTCAAATGTTTTGAAAAGTATGTCAAAATCTGAAACTGTTGCTTTGACAACAGATGGATGGACCAGTAGAGCGACAGAATCTTATGTAACAGTCACATCAAGTTTTATCACCAAGGATTGGAAATTACAAAACTTTGTTTTACAAACCCGTGCTCTACCGGAAAGCCACACAGGTATTAATATCGCTAATGTTCTAACAACCGCTATCAATGAATGGAATATTCCTAAAAAACCCTATGTGCCACTGGTAACGGACAATGCCGCAAACATGTTGGTGGCAGCTAGGGAGGCTGACTGTAAACCACACATTGGTTGCTATGCTCACACTTTGAACCTCGCAGCACAAAAAGCCCTGAAAATAAACTCTGTTTCTAGGATTCTTGGACGTGTGAGGAGAGTCGTTTCATTTTTCCACCGAAGCACTACAGCAGCTGCTGTATTGAAGTCTAAAACTAAACTACTTTGCCTGAAAGAAATGAAACTGGTACAAGACGTCAGTACTAGATGGAATTCTGCTGTAGACATGCTGGAAAGATACCTGCTCCTGCAACCAGCAATATTTGCTGCTTTGATGTGTAAAGATATTAAAAGAAATCAACATGAGGTTTCTACACTGAGCTGTGATGACCTGAGATTAGCAGAGGAAATCATGGAATGTTTACGCCCTTTGAGAGAAATTACACAAGTCCTGTGTTCTGAAAAACTCCCTACTGTGTCTATTATTTTGCCATTACAAAAGAAATTGTTGACCCAAGTACTTGTTGAGAGAGAATCAGACTCCAACATAATTAAACAGATGAAGAATGCCATGTCTTCTGATTTATCAGAAAGGTAAATTAATTTTTTTTAATATTTCTATTGACTATTATATTTGTAATATAAGCCATGAAAATTTCAATTAAAAACAATTTTACAAACACAAACATTGCATTGATAGTTTATTAATCTTAAATTTATGGTATTGAACAGTAAATAAAATGAATTGCTATTTAAAATAGTACATGTCAGATTTCATTTTTTTTTAAATTTTTATTTCATTTCACTCTTTCAATCTAAAATTATAAACAATTGTCAATTTTCAATAAAGGTTTTCATTTTTCAATTCCAACTTCCACTGTTGTGTTTCAGGTATACTCCCATTACTGATTTTCTTGAGGAATGCTCAGCTGTAGACCCAAGAATTAAAGTGTCTTTCAGGCCTGCAGATGAGCAGTTCATGGTTTACAACAGGTTGTCACTGATTGCAGGAAGTGCTACTCCCATCAAAGTCAAAACAGAACCAGGACTTGAACAAGTTGGATCGGTTCAGCCAGGCCCAGTATTACCAAATTTACCACAACTACAAGAAGACACACAGAGTAAATAATTTTAAAATACAAAATGGATAAATTCACCAATCAATACATGAAGCTATAATTTTGTTACAAAATATATTTATCAAAAATTAAAAATAAAATAAGTTAAATAACACAAACAAATCATTTTATCTTGTAAAAAACATAAAATGTGACATTTCTCAATTTTGACTTAATTTTAATTTCAGGTCAAGATGAGTCAACTGCTGCAGCTGAAATGGATACTTCTGGCCCTCCTGGACTCTCCTCCATTTTGAGTGATGTCATATTTGTCAAACATGAGGAAGGTGTATTTAAATCCCAGTTGGAGAAAGCTTCAGATGAAGTTGCATGTTACAAAGAAATGGAACTTCTTCCCATGGATCAGGACCCATTGAATTGGTGGAAAATGCATGAATTACAATTCCCCCTTCTATCATTAATTGCAAAGTGTAGATTATGCATCCCAGCTACATCAGTCCCATCTGAAAGAATCTTTTCAACTGCAGGGGATATTGTTACTGCCCAAAGGTCACAGCTGAGTCCTGATGTTGTGGACAAGTTGATATTCTTGAAAAAGAATATGTAAACCACTGATCAATGTAAACTTCCAGTAACTTACTAACTTTCAAGCAATAAATGCATATAAATTAAACAGGATTGTTTGTTGTTGTAAATGAGTACTAGGTCAACACAATATTACACTTATTTCAGGTACTTACCTTTTCGTTTTGACAGTTTCTGCTATTTCTGTGTATCGCAATATGACTCTCCAATATCGCAATATATCGCAATATGGGTTTTGCTGTATCGTTACACCCCGTGAAACTGTATTGGAAGGGGGATGGGGGGATTTAGGATGTGTTAAATTTGGTGGACAAAAGGAAGGGAGAGGGATTTCGTCCGGGGGTGGTTATACTACAAATTGGGGGGAATTATTTGGACTCGGGGGGGGTTGGGGTAAAATAGGAACATTTGTATGGGCTTGCTAAGATTAGTGTTGGATACGTTATATAAGTGCTTAGGGTGGTTATCCTTAGAGTGCCGAAAGGAACTCGCTTTCGGTCCAACACCCTGTGGGAATATGGGGCTTACCGGGCTTATCTCAACCTGGCTCTGGCTTTCGAGATGAATGCCAGGGGCCAGGCTATGGTGGTCCGACGCATGCTCAGTACTAATGAAGGTCAGCTCGTTAATTGCTAGGATAACAACCATATCTTCAAACTATCCCTATACTTAGGCAAGTTAAAAATTACTTTAATAGGGTGTCCTTGATTAGAAGGTATTTGAGAGTGATAGGCAACAATTGTCAAAATCTGGGACTGAAACCGAAATTAATAGTCCCCGCTAGGGTTCCCCCAAGGATCACTAAAAACCATTGTATGAAATGACAGGTCAATGATTTTGATTATTGCGGGTATAACGTCCTCGAGGTTTGGTTTCAATTTGTTTAACGTCCTATAAACATGTAATAGCATGTATGTTTATTGTGTAAGCGTGCATGTGTGAATGTGTGACGCAGATGGTATGTTATTGTGATAGCGCGGATCTGATGCCGACTTTATACGGCTATTTCTGCTCCTTCTCGACCTACAGCCAACTGAATGTTTTCTCGGCTGACTTCCTAAATTAACCAATTAGTTGTGAGTGCGGCAAGGTTCTGTTCTTGGTCTACTTTTGATATAATTACAGGTGTGCAACAAGGTTCTGAACACATTATCAATTTGCCAAAAAACAATTTACATTGCATCCGACGCTTACCGGACGCTACCTGTTTGGTTTTAACTTCAGTTTTGCCTATGTGACTGTCCCCGTCCAACGCTTAAAAACCCAACGAGCTTGCACGTGTGTTGTTGTAGTTATGATCAGGTCGTCGTTGTTAGAAGGAACGTATATCTCTGAAGCTGTCTTTGGTCATCTGGATTTCTTCTTTGCTTCATTGATTATCAAGTTCATCCCAATCGCAAATAACACAACTGAAAGAGTACAGCCAGTTTATATTCCCTTCTCGAGCTTCTGCCATGGTGTTGACCTTTCTCGATAAGCTTGTTTTATGGAACCATAAGCGTTGGCGAGGTCTAGCCAGACAACTGTTAGGTCGTTGTGGTTGACCTTTACTTCTTTTATGATCTTATTGATGGCACTTGTGCGTTCCTGGTAACCTGGTACTACCCCGTTCTGCACATTGGTGTCAATATATTGGTTTGATGTAATGTAAGTTGTCATTTGTCTGGCCAGCACAGCAAAGAATAGTTTCCCATCCACGTTGGGTAAGGAGATGGTACTGAGTTGTGCAATATTCCTCCAAACCGCTTTCAGGAGATTCAAAAGTCGTCGTAGAAGCTTTGGACACATCTCATAAACATCACAGGGAATACCATTTGGTCCTGGTGCAGACTCTGTTCTTGCATTCTTCACCACTTATGTTACCTCTTTCAGTGTAGGTTACTTAGTGTTAATTGGAGTGGTCAGTTGTGCTGCTGGTTCAATCCTGTGGTATTTACCTAATGGAAAGTCTCGAATAGAATCAGAGTGATTTCTTTCATGCTGCTCTCTATATCTTGCCCGATTTCTTTTAATCTAGCAGGTTGTTGAAAAACTTGAATGGATTTGACATAAACTCAGTTCGACGCTGGGCTCTTTTCTTCCTCTTGTTACGCAGCTGCTCTGCTTTGCGAAGACCTATACGTTATGCCATCTGGGTATCTCTTAATTGCTGCAGCCCTGGCCTCTGGAAGTTTCATCTCAAATATTCCATGAAGGTCTTCATCTACATCTTTCCAGGCTTTCTTATATGAAGTCTTGGGCCAGAATAATTAAACATACTTAGCAAATGCGTTATTTTGTAAGACCCTGAAAGCATTTAAAATTCTAAAATTCTAATACCAAATGTAATGAAATGGGCACATTCGTATTTTGCTACCATTGAGCATTAATGTAAAATAAAATTGAATTTTAAAAGGGCTGTTAATCCCATATTTTGTTGGAATTGTAATCGATATAAAATTACGGTTTTGAAAAACTCGGCTTCATAATATAAAGATGATTAACAAACGTCAATTAAATGCATCAGGGATTAAACTTAAAACACCTCTGATGGGGCATTAGGTATTAATACGTGTGTAGCGCAACAATTCTGATGACCCAGATTAACCCACACCGAACATACATGTGATATATAACAAACAGCTGACTCAATCTGTTTTGAAGTGAGGCTGTATTCCGGCCCCCTATCGCAGCCTCTCAAAAAACACACATACACTACACGCATGCATCTTGCACACAGGGGAGGCCGTCCTTAAATAACGTTAGCTGTTAATAGGACGTTAAACAAAATCAAACAAACAAACAAAGTATCCCCCCCCCCCCTGTCCCTGCAGGTAGGGCGTAATAATTGTACCTGCTGCCCCCAATTGCATGATCGTAAGAGGCGACTAAATTTGGGACCTTATCTCTTCTCTCCTTTCTAAATAACTTTCTTCTTCCTAATGTCTCCCTTGACAATGCCTCACTTTTGGCCATTTGTTGAGCGTTCGCCCCTGTGAGGAAGGCTTTGGGTTCTGTCCCCTGGCCGAGACATACCAAAGTCTTTAAAAATGGTAGTTTCTACTCCTGCTTAACGCTCAGCAAATTAGGAGTGGGACGACTGGTTCGCCCGTTGTCAGTATAATGTGACCGGGTGGGGCGTCCTGCTGGGTGTCTTCGGCAGTATGTTTCAGTGAGGTAGCACTATAAAGTCGGNTTGCAATGAGTGCAGCACGTTCATTTCGTTCGCTTTTGTTTCCCCCAAATAGAGGACATCAAAGTAAATCCCCAATTAGTCAGGAGACTCGAACACGAGTCGCCTCTTAGGATGCATGGCATTGGTAACAGCAGGTGTATCCTCTTTTCTCTCGATCCCCAAACTGCAGGGGTGTAAAAGAACCTAAGCATAACTCAAAAGTAAAATAAATATAATATATATAAACAAAGCAAATATAACAAGAAAACATTCGAGAAGCTGAAGAATATACTCGGCTGAAAAACACGAAAACATTCGAGAAGTAAAAGAATATACTCGGCTGAATGGCTTAATGAAAATCCTGTTAGTGCACCAAATTGCATTTCCTTGTAAAAGTTTGGTTTGTTTTAGTATTGTTTAACGTCATATAGTCCCTGCAGGTAGGGCGCAAGAATGTTACCTGCTGCCTCCATTGCATGATCGAAATAGGGGACTAAATTTGGGATCTTATCTTTTCTCTTCTTTCTAAATGGACAGCGCAGACAGCGGATATATAGAACGTATACGTACTGGACGTCCTCCCAAGTCCAGACGGTTTTTTTTCTGCGTTTCATCGAATAGTGGGGCATCTATGGCAGCTACATCAGCTGTAAATGGCAGATGTTGGAAGAGACACGGACGATGGAAGTCGGAGAGTGCGAAAGATGATTAGATACTCATTTTAGCCCAGGACCGCGAGCCGACTAGACGGGTTTTAAGCGAAAGTTTAATATTTTTAAGCATTTTAGATAATTCCTGGTTTATCATACATATTGGGAAATATTTATTGGGGGAAAAGTCATGAGGTTTGCCCAAGGTTTGTTTTTACTTTTATGAAAGTATTTTCTTTCTGGTTTTAATTCTAGGTTTAATTTGTATGTAACAATGAAAGGGAAATAATTCATATTTATATCACATCAGTCTGGTAGGAGAGAGGCTGATAAGCATATATGTTTGTAACATTATCCCTGACTTCATAACGGCTAAAAATATTGGCCACACGGCTTTATTGCATAAGAAAGTGTTGTGTTTTATTTATTTGATGGCATAAAATATGATTGGTACAGGATAGACCTATCGACACTTGACACGACTAAATAGTCGATGAAGGTTTTTTCTTTAACTAATATTCGTGTGTACGTTTCTTCTCCGGGAAATAAAACTACGCAGATGACGGAACAACTTCAGTTTTCGTGACATTGTATTGATATATACAACACGTCTGAGGAGGATGAATCGGAAGATATTTACCCGAAAGCATGGTCTGAGTCCCCCTTTTACTTGTTCAGTGATCTACGTGTAAATCATTCATTTTGTCGTATTTGCCATAGCTGTCTTGATTTGATTTTCAATTTCTGATTGAAATTCTTCTTTCAATGTCTTTCATAGCTCTTCGTGATGGATTGTGTGAAGATGCCGCAACGCTGATGTCGATGTATATCGTTCAGGGAGGGCCACCTCATCGTTGTATGTCGCGTCTGTTCTATGCTTCACTGCGTCAGACTCCGCGGCCGTCCGCGGGCATCGAAGATGTCAGCGACCAAGATGTCAAAATTCATTTGTGTCAATATAGGTTATCACAATTAGTATTTTCGGTACCGCATAACAAATTTTCATTTTGGAAACATTATATTGCCTATACTAAGCTGCTCTCAGGTATTTTAAAGGTTGAAATAAGGATCAAAAGGTGGGTATGAAAACATCTTGGTTATAACCGATCATTTTACTCGGTATGCTCAGGCAATTCCCTGTCGCAATCAGACTGCTCATACCAGCTAAGGCCCTATATGAAAATTTCATAGCCTTTTATAGCTTCCCCGGGCGTCTTCATAGCGACCAGGGCAGAAACTTTGAGAGCAAAGTTATTAAGGAGCTTTGTCAAATTGCTGGAGTTA